CAGGAGCTCTCCTTGCTAGTTGGAATGCAAATGGCACCACTATTTGAGAAGATAATTTGGCAGTTTCTTATAAAACTAAACATACTCTTACCATAGGATCCAGCAGTTACACTCCTTATAATTTGCCCAAATGTGTTGGAGACTTTGTCCACACACACACACACACACACAAATGTTTATAGCAGCTTTATTCATAATTGCTAAAACTTGGAAGCAACCAAGATGTCCTGCAGTAGGTGAGTAGATACATAAACTGTGATATGTCCAGACAATGAAATACTATTCAGCACAAAAACTATGGAAGAAGAAGAAAAAAATCAGTGGTTGCTAAGGGTCTGGCAGAAGGAGAGTTGAATAGGTAGGACACAGAGAATTTTTAAGGAAGTTAAACTATTCTGTATGATACCATAAGGGTGGATATTTATAATTATACATTTATGCAAATCCGTAGAATGTACAACACCAAGAGTGAGCCTTAATGTAAGCAATAGACTTTGGTTGATAATAATGTGTCAATATTGATTCATGGAGTGTAGTGTAAAAAGTATACAATCCATTGTACATTTGGTGTGGAATTTTGGTGTAGGAATTTGGTGTGGGATTTTGATGGTAGAGGAGGCTGCTTGTGTGTGTATGTGTGTGTGTGTAGTAGGGAAAGACAGGATATATGATAAATCTCTGTACTCTCAATTTTACTGTAAACCTAAAACTGCTCTGAAAAATAAAGTTTATTATTTTTTTAAAGGCAAGAGGAGGAGTGTTCCAGGAAGAAACTAGCACATTCAAAGGTCCTGTGGCACAGGGAGACTTGAGGATCACGTGGGCCCAAAGGAAGGCCCACAACAGTGGAAAGAATGAGACAGGGCAGGTGGATCTGGTAGAGCTGGAAAGACAGGTGATGGCCCAACTCTGCAGAGCCCAGTAGGCTGTTAAAGCTGTTTTTCTTTATCCTGAAAGCTCCAGGAAGCCATTGAGTGGTTTTAGGGTGTGGAAGTGGGATAGGGATGGCAAGAATACGATCAGATTTGTATTTCAAAACAATTACTCTGGCTGCAGTGTAGAGGGTAAAGAACACATTGAAACTGTGGAAGGTGCAGAGCTGGCAGGAAGAGGCCAGTTGGGGAGCTGAAGCTACAGCTCCACTGCAAAATAAAGGTAGCCTGAGCAAGAGCGGGTGGGTGATGTGGGGATGAGAAGAAAGGCCAAGGCAAATTTGGGATGTCATATGGAAAGTACTTGGAAGGGGATGAAACATACAAAGGATGGGGAGGAGAGAGTGGCCAAGCATGCTTCCTTGATTAATCTGTGATAGTATAATGAGAATTTTATTTCTGGAGATTTATGTCCTTGTTTAACCACATTCTCCTTTGAACTTTCTGACTCATGCAAATTTCCCAACTGGTCAAAATCTGCTTTCCTTAAGTGAAGTGAACATGGCGAAATATGTCCTACTGGCCCAAGTCCCTTTTGTACCATAAAGGGCTCCCTGATATCACTTCTACATTGTAAACCAATATTGATACATGTAGAATTAGGTCCAGCAACAGAGCTCATCATGTCTCTTCTACTTTCAGAGAGTTGAGTTCATAAAGCAAAGCAAATTAAACATTCTTGAGGGGACCCCTGGGTGGCTCAGTGATTGAGTGTCTGCTGTCAGCTCAGGTTGTGATCCCAGGGTCCCAGGATTGAGTCCCCCCATTGTACTCCCTGTGTGGAGCCTGCTTCTCCCTCTGCCTGTGTCTCTGCCTCTCTCTCTCAGTCTATGTCTCTCATGAATAAATAAAATAAATCTTAAAAAACAATAACAACAACAATCTTGGGCCATCCACGGTGGGAGGGTATGGTCACCTATCTATACAATAGTTACCACATACCAGGAGTTGTTCTGAGTGTGTCATTAGCTCACTGATTTTCCCCAAAGCTCAGTGGAGTAGATATAATTATCATCATTTTACAGTTGGGGAAACAGAGACACAAAGAGTTTAAGTAATTTGCTTGTCTACACACAGCCAGGATTGGAACTCTGGCTCTGGAGCCCTTGCTCTAAGCCATTACTTGAATTGCCTCTCAAATGAAGTCTTTCTGCAGCATCTTTCAAACTAATCCTAGAGAGAGAAATCCTTTTGCCTCTTAGGTCTCAGAAGTGGAGGATGGAAGTCTGCAGGTGCCTGTTCTATGGGGAAAAGAACAAAGCTGACCTGCAGGGTAATCTGAAATGCGAGATGGGAAGGGATAGAGAGATAAAAAGAGACAGAGCAATAGGCAGAGATTGGCCAGAAGAAAGAAAGAGATCTAAAATGTCTGCAGGAAACTACTGTGGCCAAAGTATGCAAAACAGCCAACACCAGCATCTCTCAAGGACGGTTGGCTCTTTTCCTGATAGTCAGAAGGTGAATGTCAATTTTCAGGGAGGCATGAGGAAAACAAAAGATGCACATCTGTTTCCTGAGACACAGGGCTAAAAGCCAGGTAGCTGGGGAGCTGGACTTGCCTTGAAGAGTTTGGCAAAGACAAAGACAGGCATGAGCCTTGTGTGACACTATGGTTCTTAACCAAGAGTATGTAGCTGGCCTTTGGGGGAGTACTTTAAAATTCTTGCATCAAGGGCACCTGGGTGGCTCAGTGGTTGAGTATCTGCCTTTGGCTCAGGGGCATGATCCCAGGGTCCTGGGATCGAGTCCCGCATCGGGCTTCCCGCAGGGAGCCTGCTTCTCCCTCTGCCTGTGTCTCTGCCTCTCTGTGTGTGTCTCTCATGAATGAAAAAATAAATAAAATCTTAAAAAAAATTCTTGTATCAGCCCTACAGAAACTCTTAGAATGGGGTTGGTTCCAGGCATTTGTATTTTTTAAAAGCTTCCCAAGTGATTCCCATCTTTTGTTTTCTTCATGCCTAGGTTAAGACCTAGTGGTCTGAAGACATATAGCTGATGATCATGAGAAGTCTCCAGGTGAAATTTTTACTAAGTGTTTAAGAGATAAAAGGGAAATTCTTTTTTTAAAAAATTTTTATTTATTTATGATAGTCACAGAGAGAGAGAGAGGCAGAGACACAGACAGAGGGAGAAGCAGGCTCCACGCAGGGAGCCCAACGTGGGATTCGATCCCGGGTCTCCAGGATCGCGCCCTGGGCCAAAGGCAGGCGCCAAACCGCTGCGCCACCCAGGGATCCCCGGAAATTCTTTTTTTAAAAAATTTTTATTTATTTATGATAGTCACAGAGAGAGAGAGAGGCAGAGACATAGGCAGAGGGAGAAGCAGGCTCCATGCACCGGGAGCCCGACGTGGAATTCGATCCCGGGTCTCCAGGATCGCGCCCTGGGCCAAAGGCAGGTGCCAAACCGCTGTGCCACCCAGGGATCTAAAAGGGAAATTCTTGAACATGGATGTCAAGCAGGGCGACGAGGTGGGGTGGGGCGGGGGCTATAATTAATTTGACCTGAAGAAGCTTGGGCTATTGTCCTTGAATTTATTCATCTGGATTCCAGGTGGGTCAACTGTGTTTCATGAGGCAGAAATGGCCTGACACCATCTTAACACAGTCTAGAGAATGAGACCAGCGAAAGTGGGTGTCCCCACAAGAAAGGCTCAGGTCCCACATTCCTCAAACACTTGCCTTCACCATGAGTGGGATTTGATCACCACACACCCAGGCGTTGAACTACCACTCCTGAACTAAGGGTAAAACTGGAATGATTATAGATGCTTTGAAGAATAAATAGTTAAAAGGGCATTTTGTCAGTTACTATTCTATCCACCTTTCCTGTTCGAATGTAGAATTCTTTTTAAGAATAAACATGCTTCCCTCCTCTTAAGACTCTTAGGAAGAAAATGAAAGAAAAGGGCTTTGAAAGGGTATTGGCAATCGCACAATAGATGCAATAAAACTATATAAAAAGGAGAGCAAAAAAAAAAAAAGAAATATGGGATTCAGGTTCTGGGTATGCTTTGGGGTGCTTTCATTTTGAATGCTAGGTGTGGGGGTACTTTTTCAATTATCAAAATAACCAGCAAACAGACCAAATAAATAAATAGAAGTGGCCATGCATGAAGGATGATGATCAACTTGATTCTCTGCATGTAAGGGGCAATTTAGAAAGAAATCAAAGCTAGATACATAGGGAAAATTCACCTGCACGTAATCCCACCACCCACAGGGTAACGATCATCATTAACTTTCTCTTTTCTAGGTTTTTTTTAATATATATATATATAAGATCATATTGTATCTATGATCTTCTCTTTTTTATTCTCATTTTAATGTGTATACTATAAGGCAAAACAAAGTTCCAAACACTGAAAGCAAAAAATGCACAAAAAGGCTCTGACAGGCATTACACAATGATCCAGATTTTGTAAAACTTGGTGTTGAACATGGGGATTGCATGATCATATTTCTAGAAATTGAGACTCCTGGTTTTTGTTTTTAAGTAATAGACTTTGTTTTTTTTTAAGGAGCCTATTTTATTTGTTTATTTTTAAAGATTTTATTTTTAAGTAATCTCTACACCCAACATAGGGCTCAAATTCACAACTGCAAGATCAAGAGTCGCATACTCCACCAAGTGAGCCAGCCAGGCGCCCCACTTTATTTATTTATTTATTTATTTATTTATTTATTTATTTATTTATTTTTGAGCAGATTTAGGTTCACAGCAAAATTGAGCAGAAAGTACAAACGTCCTCCTCTTTTTACTTAACATCAGGGCACACAAATATTTTCATTTCATTAAAAGCTTCTCAGAAACAAACTTTTTACTGTCAACAAAATGTTTCCTTATATGGATGTCATATGGTTTACTTAGCCTTACCGCCACTGGACATTAGGGTTATTTCCAGTTTTTTGGTGGTATAAGTAGAGTGGTAATGAACATTTTTGTGTATAAATTCCACCCCCACACATATTTAGCATTATTTCTTTGGGACAGATTATTAGAATCATTGAAAGAACCAATATGAACGTTTTAAGGCCTATTTTATCAAACTACCAACTTTCTTTCCAGAAGTTTTGTGCAAATGTACACCTTTACCAGAAGAATTTGAGAGGATCTACTCACTACACTCTTAGCAGCTGTGGTACGTAGAAAAATACACTGTCTCACCCCTTGTGCCTAGATGTCCCCTTTAATCTCTGGAACCTAAGTAGGTCACCTTATATAACAAAGGAGCATTGTTGCTTCCCAGCTGATCTTGAGATGGGGTGATTACCCTGGATTACCCAGATGGGCCCAATATGATCACAAGTGTCCTTAGAAGTGAAAGAAGGAAGCAGAAGGGAACCAGAAAGACAGCTGAGTGAGAATGACTCAGCCCTAGGTTGCTGATTTTTAAGAAGGAAGAGGCCATGAGCCAAGGAATGTGGGAGGGTCTGGAAGCTGGAAGGGGCAAGGAAAGTACTCTCCCCTAGAGCCTCCAGAAGGAACACGACCCTGGTGACACCATGATCTTAGCCAAAAAGATGTGTCGGACTTCTGACTATAGAAATATAAGTGAATACATTGGGTTATTCTAAGTCACTAAGTTTTTTAGTGATTTGTTAGCCCAGCAATAAAACTGCATTGGGTATCTTCATTTCATTTCATTCTGGTGGGATTTAATGCCATTTTAATTTGCATTTGTTTGATTTTCTGGGCAGAGCCCATCTATTGTTCTGTCTACCCAGAAAAGACTCTTCTGGGAAATGCATCTTCTCCTCCCTTATAAACAGGTAGTCCAAAATCAAGTCAGATCCCCAACCAGTTTAAGCCATTCAGAGCCTTTTTTGTAATTAAAAATTTTAGGATTAGAGAATACAAACCCTATCCTTCGGTATTGGTGCGGAAAGAGGTGAGTCATAGCAGCTGCCAGGAGCATGTTTCTGCCATCAGCACAAAGCCTCTCGGAGAGAATGACACTGACACACAGAGAAAAGCAAGGCAGAGGGGCAGGGAGAAGTCTCTGCAGGACTGGTCAGCTGCATCCCTGCTCTTCTGGCTGGGTGACACTTCCAATAAATGTCTCTTTTGCAGAAATTAGCTTGAGTTGTGTTCCTATCACTTACCACTACAAGAAATACAGAAACTGGAACCTGAACTGGGGTGTGGAATTTTCTTTTTAAGATTTTATTTATTTATTCATGAGAGACACACAGAGAGAGGCAGAGACACAGGCGGAGGGAGAAGCAGGCTCCATGCAGGGAGCCCGACGTGGGACTCGATCCCAGGACCATCACGCCCTGAGCCAGAGGCAGAAGCTTAACCACTGAGCCACCCAGATGCCCCACATTCCTGTTTTTATGTTATCAAGCCAGTCAGTTAGATTATTTTCCAGTGGCTCATAGGACTCAGATCATGTGTCATTCAGACTTACACTTTGGGAGACTCAGTACTAGAATACGAGGATGAGGGATCCCTGGGTGGCTCGGCAGTTTGGCACCTGCCTTCTGCCTGGGGCGCGGGTCCTGGGGTCCCGGCATGGAGCCTACTTCTCCCTCTGCCTGTGTCCCTGCCTCTCTCTCCCTCTCTCTGTGTCTATCATAAATAAATAAATCTTAAAAAAAAAAAAGAATACGAGGATGAGAGAATATGTCGATGATTTCTCATAGCCTTTGGGAGGGTGCTGTGAGAGACATGTAGTGTAGGCCCAGAAGAAGCAAGTGTTTTAGGGTTGCAGTGCTATAAAGCCCAAGTCTGCCAAACTCAGGTGTGTGATTGCTCAACCACTAAGGTAATTATTTTTCAAATCTTCTTTCTTTTTTTCAAATTTTCATGATGATAAGAACCACCTGGGATGATTGTTAAAAATACAGATTCCCAAGCACTTCCCAGACACAGAAAAGACACAGAAAGACAGTAGATGTGGGATGTGATTTAGAATCAGTTTTTTTCCACCAAATTCCCCAGAAATTTCTATCATTTCACAACTCCATGATGAGGTATTTCTCAGGTAACTGGACAGCAGGAAGTGATTTGTAAGGCAGGATAGCTGTGAGGCAGAGAATCCTCTCCACTGCTCTGCTTATGAAGGGTCTTGCAGATGTGGGCAAGGGAGATACTATCAATAGGCAAAACGTGAAGAGTCAGCCTGGTGACCAAGGAACTCACTCTTTGCCAACACGCAGTGATATTCACCAACCACAGCTCTGACCTCACCATCCCTGTCCAGCTGGTTGTGGTTTAAATGCTGGACCAGTGACCACTGTGTGTCACCTCCTTTTCACCCATCTAAATGGTAGCATCTATAACAGTAACCCTACTTCCCACCAGCATTGTACATGACATGTGTTGGAAGTGGTTGGTGACTACAGGAATCACATACCCAAAGAGGACAGGAGCATGAGGAGCCATGAGAAGACTTGAGCAAGAGGAACAAACACACTCAGGAACCCTGGACTTGTACTTGCTACCAAACGGTCCTCAGAGTTAATGCTTTGAGCACCGCTTCTATCCACACCCATACTCACTTATTTTCTCCAAACATGTGGAAACAACATCTCACGTGTATTAAGCGCTCACTATGTTCTAGGCATTGTCTAAGAGCTTTATGTGAAATAAAAACAACAGATGGGGGAAGCTCTAGACCAAGCAGAGTTGAACAAACAATTAGTGCTTTGGAAGATGGAGCTGAGGAATTAACCCAGAACTCAGCACGAGAGAGAGGGAAAAAAAAGAAATATGGAAAATATGAAAAGGCAATTACTAGACATGGAAGAGTTTGAGAAGCTCCATCCAAGAAAAGGTTCCAAAAACGGAGCAAATGGTGGAAAAGACTGAAGAGCTAATAGGGAGGAATTCACCAGAATCCTCAGACAGAAAGTGCCCTCTGAACACTGAGTAGAATAAATAACAAATCCTCACCTATCCATGTTTAGATCTGCAGAACATTGAGAATACACAAGAAAAACTTAAAAACTATCAGAGGAAAAAAAGATTTTCCATCCCATAGCTTCTGGACGTGGAGTGGGACGAGGAAGTCGGATGACTTTGAGTAATATCCCATTGGGGAAGGTTGCCCACGGTAAGAGAGGACAATTTGTGGGCATAGCTTGTATGGAAAGAAACTTAGGTGAAGATCCCAAGAATCTGGTGACTATACATCGTTTTGCATCCCCCTTCTTCTGAGCAGAGTTCTTTCCCCCACTAAACATGTGGTTCACATACATGCTTCATTCTCCTCCAAATCCTGATCCCAGTTTATTAGCCCAAGAAGGATACCCGACCTAAGGTGGCCAGTCACAATAGCTCACTCTAGGCCTTGGTTAATGGACCATGTTGGGTGAATAAGAGCCCTTCCTTGGGGTCTTTGACTTTGGGACAAGTGAGAGCAAGTCCCAGTAGTTCTCTGGAGACAAAGCTGTGAGAGATGACCTTTGGGGCTCTTGGAAGCCATGCTTCCTGCCACGTAGAATGAGGCCAGTCCAAGAGGGAATAAAGTTAACCTGTAGAGAAAAGCAGAGAGAGAGAGTGACTCCTGTCAATGTGTGAGGATCTGGTGATAGCTCTCTCTCTCTGCTCTTCCAGTCTTTTGTGAATCTTCCCTTAATTCTCCCTCTTTAATCGAACTTGTAAAACTTAACATTTCTATTATTTTCAACCAAATGAATCTTAGTTCATGAAATGAGGTTGATACTTTGTTATTCTTTAACTATTTGCATGTTTTCTTTGGGGGAAATGTTTTTGCTTGTTTATCCTCTGGGTCTTGCACATAGTTTTTTGTTTGTTTGTGTGTTTGTTTAACTATGCAGTATTCCCAAACTGAATGTCTATTCTCTGGTTTCCAATTCCCCTCCTTCTTTCCCTGTCTCTGCTAAAGGCTTTCCCATCTTTACACACACCTAAGACAAGAACCTCAATGCCATCCACTCTTCATGATTTAAACTCCCACACTCCAGCAATCTTGGATCCCCATCAATTCTACCTTTGGATACAGTTCTCAGAGCTGTCCACTCATTCAAACAGCAGCTAAGCCACCTGTGGACAGGGCCGCAAGCAACACTCATTGGCTACTGAGTGTAATTTGGAACAACTTTTCTGGAGATACATTTGGAAATATATTTCAATAATCTTTAAAATATTCATACCTTTTTTTTAAAAAAGTATTTATTTATTTGAGAGAGAGAGCAAGCAGCAGAGGGAGAGGGAAAGAGAGAATCTCAAGCAAACTCTGTGCAGAGCTCAGAGCTCAACTCGGGGCTCGATCTCATGACTCCAAGATCATGACCTGAGCCTAAATCAAGTCAGATGCTTAACTGACAGAGCCACCCTGGCGCTCCAATGTGTATACCTTTTGACCTAGCAATTGCATCGCATGGATAAGGGGGAAGTTAAAGATAAGACTTTAAAAAAAAAAACAGGGACATTTACAATAATGACCAGTTTGAAAATAAGCAGACGGATTGTTGCTTAAGATATAATGCTAAATAAGAAAGGATATGAAACACATATTCATATACAGTATTTCATTAAAAATACATGTCAAATTCGGTGAGTATGCAAAATTGGATGTAATCAGTAGGCTTCCTTTCTCCCAGGCCTCATTCTCAAACTGGCCACCCGTTGCCCTTCCCTTCTGAGGATGAGGTGGGTGAGGTTAGGAAGTGATAGCCTCAGGGTCATTTGGGGCTTTTGTCACTTCAGTGGACAGAGTGCTGAGTGCAGTATAATTTTCAACATCTTCATATTGTGTCTTTTGTGATAATATAGACTCCTCCCCCCATTATTGTTTTCCAAAATGCAACTCCACACTTAATACAATTTAATTTCCATCCCCACATGTATCACATTTGGGTAGGATTTTGCTGTATTTGTATAGGTACGCTCTAAAGTATTAAATCAAACCCCTGGGGATCCCTGGGTGGCGCAGCGGTTTGGCGCCTGCCTTTGGCCCAGGGCGCGGTCCTGGAGACCCGGGATCGAATCCCACATCGGGCTCCCGGTGCATGGAGCCTGCTTCTCCCTCTGCCTGTGTCTCTGCCTCTCTCTCTCTGTGTGACTATCATAAATAAAATAAAAAAAAATACTTGCTAAATCAAACCCCTAAGTCTTTTTTTTTAAACCCCTAAGTCTTAAATGTTTAGATAACTCTCCATTTTCCGCAATTGTAAGTGAAGCTGCGGGGAACATCTTGGCATCCACAGCTTTGTGCCAGCTGAGTCCTGCAGAATTATATCGACATGGAACCAGAAGGTTCCTGCCTTCTAGAACCTTTCGTCCTTAGTAGAGAAGAGCAGACAGAGAGACAACTCTAATGTGAGCCACAAGGTGATAAGTGCTCCCAATCCAGGCAGGGAACAGGCTGCCCGGAAGAGGGGGCATTTGGACCAAGGTTCTCAGAGAGCTGGGGAGAGGGAGCTCATCTTCCCAGTGGGCATAGAAAGTTGACCCTAGTGGGTTAGCCCCGTGGCACCTGAGAGCTGAAAAAACAGGTCTTTGCACCAGAGCAGGAGAACCTGGGCCCAGTGCGCAGGTTTCCCGTTCCTCCTTCTAGCCCCACCAGAGCTCATTCTTCTCTCAGCCCGAGGGCAGGAGCGCAGGGGTCTCTCTAGCAACCCCCCTCCCCGACCCCCCCCAGTCACCCCCCTGCAGGCGGGAGGGGCTCTTCCCTGGCAGTCCTGAGCCATATGGCAGGCTCAGAGGCGCTGAGTCCCCAGCTTCCAGCACCTCCTGCCAAACCCCAACTCCTGGGGTCAAAGGAATGTTGAGCAATCTTTGGAATTTTGAATTATGTTCAGGCCTCCTGAGCCGGGCAGGCTGCCCGTGGCCTGGAGCCCTGCGTCTTCCTGAGCAGACATCTGGGAGCGCTGGGGGACTTTTGGGTGTTTGTTTTCTCCTCCTGCTGGCGGGGCTGTAGGACACCATTGCGGTGAGGTCATGGGCCCTGCCCCGCTGTCCCGGCCCCCACCCCCGTTCGCGTGCGCGGGGCGCGGGGCGCGCAGGAGGGCTGTGGCCGCAGCGCCGCCAGGTCTCAGCCGCTGCCCGGGCCCTGCCGACGGCGTCGGGCCGCGCTGCCCGGCTTCCCGCGGCCGCAGGAACACGCG